TTTCCTCCAAAGTGGCCACCACATGCATGTGAGTGACAAAAGGCAAGAATGGACGCTATCTCCGTCTCGGGAATGCACCTTCTAATGACTTGATCTTTGTAATGTTTCCACAAGTATGGTTCATCCCATACATATTGTTTTGCATCGTGTTGGAGCTTCTCTCTTTGAGCTTTAGAGAAGCTTGGTGGAAACCTGTTTAGAACAAGGAAATTAACAATGTGAGCGTACCAAGGGCGAATTTCCTTAAGAGAAAAAAGAGTCTCATCGGGAAATTCCCCTCGGATATCATCTTTGATATGATCATTTCCTTCATCAAGGACTAAACGGCTCAAGTGATCGGCCACCAAGTTCTCCATGCCTTTCTTGTCCTTGATCTCAACATCAAACTCGCTCAAGAGTAGTATCCACCGAATCAACCTTGGTTTGGCCTCCTTCTTTGTCATTAAGAATCTAAGAGCCGCATGATCGGTGTAAATGATCACTTTGGTTCCAAGTAAGTATGACCTGAATTTTTCAAGTGCGTAGACGACGGCCAACATTTCTTTTTCGGTGGTGGCGTAGTTGCGTTGAGCATCATTGAGAGTGGTGGATGCATAGTAGATCACATGAGATTCCCTTCCCACCTTTTGGCCCAAAACGGCCCCGACCGCATAGTCACTAGCATCACACATGATCTCAAATGGAAGAGACCAATCGGGAGCTTGGATGATAGGTGCGGTTACTAGCTTTTCCTTCAACGTATTGAAGGCCTTCTTGCATTCCTCGGAGAAGATGAATTCCACCTCCTTTTGCAAAAGTGTGCATAAAGGAGATGCAATCTTTGAGAAGTCTTTGATGAATCTCCGATAAAAACCCGCATGTCCAAGGAATGATCGTATCTCCCTAACGGTGGTAGGATAAGGGAGTGATTGAATGACTTCAACTTTGGCCTTGTCAACCTCTATCCCCTTGGATGAGATTACATGGCCTAGAACAATTCCTTCCTCTACCATGAAGTGGCATTTTTCAGAATTCAAAACAAGGTTTGATTCTAAACAACTTTTGAGCACAAGCGATAGATGGTATAAGCAAGAATCAAATGAGTCTCCATGGATTGTGAAATCATCCATGAAAACTTCCATAAATAGCTCAACATACTCGGAGAATATGCTCATCATGCATCTTTGGAAAGTGGCGGGTGCGTTGCAAAGTCCGAATGGCATACGTCGATAGGCAAAAGTGCCAAACGGACAAGTGAATGTGGTCTTCTCTTGATCTTCAGGGGCTATGGGTACTTGAAAGTACCCGGAATAGCCATCAAGGAAGCAATAGAATTTATGCCCCGCAAGTCTCTCAAGCATTTGATCAATGAAGGGCAAAGGAAAGAAATCCTTTCTAGTTACCGCGTTGAGGCGACGGTAATCTATACATACCCTCCATCCATTTTGAATTCGGGTGGGCATAAGTTCTCCATGTTTGTTTTCCACCACCGTGACTCCGGTTTTCTTGGGAACAACTTGGGTCGGACTAACCCACTTGCTATCGGATATGGGGAAGATTATCCCCATTTGGAGAAGCTTGATGACCTCCTTTTTTACCACCTCCATCATAGGTGGGTTCAATCTCCGTTGTGGTTGGCGCACCGGCTTGGCTTCATCCTCCATCAATATGCGGTGCATGCAAGTAGATGGGCTAATGCCTTTGATGTCGGCTATAGTCCATCCGATTGCAAGCTTGTGCTCTTTAAGCACCGCAATCAACTTTTCTTCTTGATCTTCGGTCAATTTGTTTGAGATTATGACCGGCAACGTTTCTTTTTCTCCTAAAAACACATATTTCAAGTGTTTTGGGAGTGGCTTCATCTCAACATCGGGGGCCTGCAAAATAGAAGGCAAAGGCTTCTCTTCGGGGATGGTTAGTGGCAATGCTCTCGACCCCGGTGGCATGAGTGGAAGTTGGAAGTGATTATCCAATTCTACCATCATGGCTTGCATATTGGGAATCGAGGCAAGTCCTAAAGAATTTTCCCCGAAATCATTTTCAATCACGCTCAATAATTCGTCCTCTCCATTTATTTCAAAAGTATCTTGTACAAGAGGATCAATAATATCAATGGCAAATAGAGAATGATTTTCATTTGGGTATTTCATGGAGTCATAAATGTTGAATTCAACTTTATCTCCATCAAATTCCATTGTTAAAGATCCGCTAAAAACATCAATTTTAGCTCTAGCGGTCTTTAGAAATGGCCTTCCTAAAAGGATAGGAACCGCATTCTTATCATTTTCCATTTCCAAAACATAAAAGTCGGCGGGAAAGATCAAATTGTCTACCATAACTAGTACGTCTTCGACAATACCCTTAGGGTAGGCGTTTGATCTATCCGCAAGTTGGATAACCACTCCGGTTTCGTTTAAAGGACCAAGTTCAAGTGATTTATACAAAGAATAGGGAATAACATTGATTGATGCTCCTAAATCTAGCATGGCCTTTGAAAACGTAGTGCCGCCCAACTTACAAGGTATAGTGAACATTCCGGGGTCATTATATTTCTTTGGAAGTTTCTTTTGAAAGACCGCGGAAACACGTTCACTAACTTGGACTTTTTGCTTTCCATTGAGTCTATGTTTTCTTTTTATTGTACAAAGCTCTTTGAAAAATTTTGCAAATCTAGGGACACCTTTTATTAAGTTCAGGAGGGGAATATTTACCTCACATTTGGAGAAAGTCTCATAGATATCTTTGTCTTTCTCCACCTTCCGTGTTTCCCTCAGAGCTTCGGGAAACGGGGCTTCAACTTCTTGGATGGCCGGTGGTGGAGTCGGCATGTGAACCTCCTCCTCTTCCGATTTAGCTTTGTCCACAATCTCCTCTTCTTCTTCCTCGCCAATATGGCTTTTGGCTTTCTCCTTGGCAATCACCAACTCTTTGCTACTCCTTAATGTCACCGCATGGGCTTGTTGCCTAGGATTCGGCTCCGTTTGAGATGGAAGCTTTGTTGAATCCTTGGCTTCAAGCCTACTCACCGCACTTGAGATTTGGCTCATTTGATTCTCAAGGTTTTGGATGCTTGATTTTGTCTCATGCTGAAATTGAACCATGTTTTGTTGCATGGTTGAGACATTTGAGGTGAGTGCTCGGATCATGTCTTCAGTGGACATAGTTGAGCCTTGGCCTTGGGGTTTAGAATACGGTTGCTTTTGAGGAAATTGGTTTTGTGGAGGGTTATTTTGTGGTGGGTTTCCTTGCGGATTCCCATATCTCAAATTGGGGTGATCTCTAAACCCGGGGTGATAAGTATTTCCATAAGAATCGTACCTCTTTTGGTTGGGGAACCCCAAGGCATTGACTTGCTCGGAGTTGTCTTCTTGTAGAGTTGGGCATGAGTCGGTTGGGTGCCCTTGCTGAGTGCAAATGCCGCAGACCTTGACTTCTTGGGTTTTGGAATTTAAAAGGAAATCCTTAACCAAAGAAGTTAAGCCGGCAACTTGACTTTCCAACGAGGTGTTGGACTCTGCCGCCATCACTCGTTTTTTTGATGACCTCCCGCTATAGTGTCTCGAATTTTCGGCAAACTCCGAGATGAGGTCTCTTGCTTGGGAAGGTGTTTTGTTGACGATTCCTCCCCCACATGCGGCGTTGATCATTCGTCTATCATCATTGCAAAGACCATCATAAAAGTATAGGATGAGGTCTTGCTCCGAATAGCCGTGGTATGGACAGCTTGCACAAAGCTTTTTGAACCGTTCCCAATATTCATAGAATGATTCATCATCATTTTGCTCCACATTGCTAATTTGTTTCTTTATTTTTCGATAATATGTAAGTATATTAGAAACCGAAAAAATAGCATTTTACAATGCATCAAATCCAAATCAAAATGACTATCTAAGCTAGAAAAATCTAACCTAGATATAATGCATCAAATAGTGCATATCCCAAATACATAGGATACCACAAAATCCAGATTACCCCTCACAAGTCAAAATATTGAACATAAAGATCAATAATAGCTTAAGTAAGCTACACCACCAAAAACACTAAGATCCCCTATTTAAACCCAAAAAACAATCTGAAAGGAGTAGTGAACTTTGAGTCAAAGCAAACTTCCCCTTTTTTCCTCGTAACTCCTGGCAAACCTTCAAGACATTTGGCCGTGAATGTTAAGCCCTTTTTATCCAAATCATCCGTAAGTCGGAGAGAAGTATCCACTCTAATTACACTATCATGCACGGATCTAAACGGTTTGACACTTAGCTTAAGCGTCTTACCGTTTATCACCTCACATTTAGTGACAACATCATTTTGCCTTACTTCACTTTCATCAATCACAACCCTCACGGCATCTTCCAACACGGCTTCGGAGGTTTTACCAGCTTGTTTTGTAGGCTGTCCAGCAGGCGTAGTAGCAAGAACCGCGGCAGTGGCAGTCCCCTGGGCAGGTTGTTGAAGTGTGGCAGCAGGTCGCACAACCGCGGCAGATTTGGCAGGTAACTCAAGCGTGGCAGCAGGTCGCACAACCACGGCAGATTTGGCAGGTTGCTCAACTCCCTTAGCAGGTCTCTTAGGAGCTCCCTTGGCAGGTTCCTCAGCTCCCTTAGTTGCGGCAGATCCTTGGGCACCGGAGGCAGCTGTTGCATCAGTCAGGGCATGAATTACTGCAGTTTTTCCATGAGCAGTAGCCGGCCCAGTTTGCTCATTCCCTAATTTTTCATTTTTCCCCATGCTCTGTTCTTTCTCTCTTTCTCCATCATCCCGTTTGGCAAGCTTCTTACAAATAAATGGGTGGTGCCCAAATTCCTTGCACTGAAAGCAAAAGTTAGGAAAAGTTTCATAAAGCACACTTTGTTTGATTACCTTTTGGGAAGGTAGCCGTATATGAAAAGAAAGTGGCGGTGGCTTTGAAACATCAACTTCAATGAGCACTCTAGCATATTCATTATTTGACCTCTCTTGAGTGATCTTGTCCGTAGTAAATGGGACCCCAACCATAGATGCCACTTCACTCATAGCTTCGTTGTTCCATAGCTTCATAGGTAGTTTGGGGAACTTCACCCAAATTGGTACTTTAAGAAATTCCTCATCTTCAAACGAGAAGTCTTCCGAAAGTACTTTGAGCATAAGAAGTTTCCCAAAAACATTGTAAGGTCCGTCATGTAGTACCTTCAGTCTATCCTCCTCATTTCCAAATTTAAAGATTACCCATCCCTTGTTATGGGACCTCACAAGACATCTTACACCCCACGTAGCTTTAAGATCATGCACCGCTTTTAGTCCGGGAAATTTGCCGGTGAAGTGCCCAACTAGGCAATAGCCCCACATTTCAACCATGGAAGGTAATACCCGATCCCCAAAGTCCAAAGTTTCTCCTTTAGGAGGAACATATCTCAATTTGATGCCATGTGCCGGATCTCGGTTATCCTTAAACAGGTTTGACCATGGAGCTTTGTTTTCTGCCAGAGTTCTAACCTGACCAGCAGCCTTGTTCTGTCCTGCATTCTTGATTGCATCAGTCCCTATATTCCCAGGAATTGGGATATCAATTGTATCACAGGTCCCAGCATTCTTTTTTCCTCCAGAAGTATGGTCTAATGCTTTAGAGACAGCCCCCATCACAGCCAAGGTCGGTTGTTTTTCACTCTCAGTCTGGCTAGTTTTGTTTGGAACAACCACTGCCTTTTTAACATTGTTTCCAGAGTTAAGAGATGGGAAGTCTTCTTCCAAATCCTGTAAAGCTGCATATTTGGACCTGATAAATCTCGTATTGGAGGAGTCCCCAATGGCCTGCTTCGATTTTCCCATCACAAGTACCTGCAGCAGCACTGACAAAAAACGCAGCAAACCTGGTTACTGCCAAGGCCAGTAAACTGGCGCAGCAGGTGTGTTCGTCACAAGTGTTAGGCAGCCTTCGTCCCAGCTGAAATTGCGAGCTGAGCAGACTCAGTTCACAGGTCTTAGACGCCCAAACCAAACACAACAAAACCCCAAAGGACGGAGAATAATCGAAGCAAACCGACTCCAAAATCGCTAATACAGTTCTATCGCAGACCCTCAGTCGCAGGTAACAGTTCAGCTGCGGTCAGGCTCAGATGAACAGTTCTATCGGCGACACTCAGTGGAAGGTCTGAGAACAGGGCGTCGGATTTCAGGCTCAGGTAGCCATGAACAGTAATTTCGCAACTTGGGTATTGTTTTGTCGAACGCAAATCTGTCTTCCAAACAGAAATCCAAGGACAGATTTAGGTTTAAGAAGTGTTAAACTACTGTGAATCAGAAAAAAGACATCATCTATCGATCCTAAGGATTCATCGATGCTCTAAACGTGGAAGGAGAACTGGGTCGCAGATCGTTCCCAGGAGAGTTCAGCTCTCAACTCCTTTACCTGTTCTCTTTACGCCCCCATGTTTTTCTCTGTTAAGGACTCGGATACTTCCATGTTGGAACACAAAAAGAAACAAAAGGATGAGAAAACAGCCATGAAGGAAGAACTAGAAAATCTGAGGAATGTCTAAGTGGAGAATGAGAGAAGAAAGAAAGAAAAGGAGAGATGAGGAGACGGAGGCGGGGTAATACCTCTCGAGAAAAGCTTTCTTCATGGCCGCCCATGTTCCTATACTTCCCGAGGGAAGATAGAATAACCAATCCTTTGCGGTGTCTTTGAGGGAGAATGGAAAAGCCCTCAACTTGATTTGCTCCTCGGTAACTCCGTTGGGGCACATGCTTGTGCAAACAACATGGAATTCTGAGAGATGCTTATTTGGGTCCTCCCCTCTTAAGCCATGGAAGGAAGGAAGAAGATGAATAAGCCCCGATTTGAGCTCAAATGTATTACCCTCATCAAGAGTGGGGAAGGTAATACACAATGGTTGTTGATTCAGGTTTGGAGCCGTGAGCTCCCTCAGTGTTCTTGTTTCTTGAGCCATAGTGATTGGCTCTTCAGATTCGCTAGAACTAGAGCTAGCGTTTGAGGATTCCTCCGAGGGTGTGTGCGGAAATAAATTTCTCAACCTCTCGAAGGCTTGTTCTATTTCGGGGTTTGTTTGATAAGTGATTTCGTTTATAGAACGATATCGGACCATATACTTCACAAAGCTCAGAAATAGAAAAATAAGAACTCTTTATATTTTTGATTAATTATATTTTTTGATTTTTCTTGAAATAAAATAAAAAGAAAAATAATTGCCTTTCCCCGGCAACGGCGCCAAATTTGACGTGCACTTTGTCGTGAGGTGCGCTCAAAATAAATACAATACAACTAATATACGTAGTATATTGAAGTAAGGTTCGTATCCGCAGGGAAAGGAATACTTCTCTTTTTTTATAAACCAGTAAATAAAAAGGGGGGTTTTGATTGAATGATTTAATTAAAATTGAACACGAAGATGAACGAGTTATGTGGTTTAATTAATGAGAAGAAGACTTGGCTTTGCTTTTATCCACTTAATGAAATGTTCGTCGATCCCGGTTATATCTTTAACTATCTTCCTCTCGAATACTCAATTGAGGAGTATATCCAGTTCATCGAGGGTAGTTATTAATAACGAGATGCGTTCATTAATAAAACTTACTATCGAGTCAATATAGGACAAGCGCCGTATATTAAATTGATAGTAGCAATAAACTTAAGATGAAAACGATTGAGATTGATAACCTCAACACAAGCGGTTTATTGGTTTAATCAATATAAATAACTCCCCTTAGATTATTAACCATGAGAAGCATGCATTAGCAATCCAAGTTTACTACCATTGAAAGAACCGAATTAATAACAAGCGTATTAACCGATTGATTCTAGTAATAATTAATATATAGGGCAAGACTAGTTGATACTTTAAGTAATGCTCAATATATTAATATGGGATATGAATAGGAAGTAATTAATATTCAAGGAAGAAGATTAAAGAAAATAACTCACAACTTACAAATCATTAAGCTTCAAAGTAGCAAAACCAAGAGGGAAGAGTTTAGCTCCTCATTTGGAGACTAAACATGATAAAAATATAAAGAAAGGACTTGACTAAACTGAGCTTAGAAGTATATATGAATTGGTGTCCTTCTTGTGGAGGAAATGAGGTGTATTTATAGGCTTTTTAGGCCTGCAGGGTCGTGTACCCGATCGAGTTTTTAGCTCAACCGATCGGGTAAGGGTTAGTTTCCTCGAAACTGAAATTCTGGGGTCATACCCGATCGGGTATGTCGGCTACCCGATCGGGTATGGATACGCGATCGAGTTAGAAAATCCTCCTGCATGTTGCCTTGTTCCCGGATTTATCCGATTTGACTTTTCAGCAACTTACCCGATCGAGTATAGGGCATACTCGACCGGGTACACTACCAAAAATCAGAATCTTCATCTTTTCTTGAAATCTTTGCACTTTCCTTCCAATTGTGATGTTCACCAATGGTCCCTAGAGTGGTCTTGGACCTGTTTGAGCTCAGAATCAACCTAATCTAAACAATTTAAAACTATTTTACAAACTAAACTTTTACACCAAAAGTGTGTAATTTCTAGAGTAACAATCACTCAAAACTAATCAAAAACACAATTATAAATACGGAAATAACATGAATGTCATGCATCAACATCCTTTCCCTCATCATCTGGTCCAATTCCTTGAGATGCATTCATGGGAATTTTGACTGAAGATTTTCCATCAATTCCAAATTTCTTGATGAGATCTCTGGTGTACTTCCCTTGGTTGATAAAGATGCCTTCTGGAACTTGTTTGACTTGCAATCCAAGGAAATAACTGAGTTCTCCCATCATGCTCATTTCAGACTTGTTCTGCATAACTTAAGAGAATTTCTTGCATAATTCTGGATTAGTGCTTCCAAATATAATGTCATCAACATAAATTTGCACTAATAGAATGTGATTATCAACAGAAATTTGAAATAGAGTTTTGACCACCTTTCCTTTAGTAAACCCATGGTTCACTAAGAATAGGGACAATGTGTCATACCAAGCTCTGGGAGCTTGCTTAAGACCATAAAGGGCCTTTCTGAGCTTGTAGACACAAGAAGATTGAGTAGGAATGACAAAACCTGGAGGTTGTTCAACATAAACTTCTTCTTCAAGTTCTCCATTCAGAAATGCACTCTTGACATCCATCTGGTAGACCTTGATGTTGTTGTAAGCAGCATAGGCTAGGAATATTCTGATTGCTTCCAGTCTTGCAACAGGTGCAAAGGTCTCATCAAAATCTATGCCTTCTTCTTGGCAGTATCCCTTTGCTACAAGCCTTGCTTTATTCCTTACAATGTTGCCTTCTTCATCAGCTTTGTTCTTGAACACCCATTTGGTTCCAATGACATTCTGATGCTTTGGTCGAGGAACAAGTTTCCATACTTCATTCCTTTCAAACTGTGTCAGCTCTTCTTGCATTGCATTTATCCAGTCTGAGTCTTCTAGAGCTTCTTCTACACTCATTGGTTCCATCTGAGATATGCAGCAGGTGAACATGGCTTCTCTTCTAGATGCAGATCTGGTCCTAACACCACTGGTGACTTGACCAATCACTTGATTAGGAGGATGATCTCTTAACCAAGTTAGATCGGGTTCTGATAGTTGCTGTCTAGGCAACTCTGATGGTTCATCTTCTGATTCTTCATCTTCATCTTTATCTATCAGAATTGGGTTAGTAGTAGGAGTTGAGAATACTGGATTGCTAGTGACCTCTTCTGGTGGTTCTGAAGTCTTATCATCAAGATTGATTTTCTGCAGGGTTTCTGAAATTTCTTCAGCAGAGGTGCTGTCATCAAACTTGACATGAATGGATTCTTCAACTTGGATAGTTCTCCTGTTAAGTATTCTATAGGCTTTGCTTGAACTCGAGTAGCCTAGGAATACACCTTCATCAGCTTTTTCTTGAAATACTTTTAGTTTATCCTTTCCATTGTTTAGAATGTAGCACTTGCATCCAAACACATGGAAATAGCTGATGTTTGGCTTTCTTCCTTTCCACAGCTCGTAGGGTGTCTTCTGATGATTCTTGTGGATCATGCTTCTATTCTGAGTGTAGCATGCAGTGTTGATTGCTTCAGCCCAGTATCTGATGGGCAGTCCTGATTCTGCAATCATAGTTCTTGCAGCTTCCTTCAGTGTTCTGTTCCTTCTTTCTGCAATACCATTTTGTTGGGGTGTTCTGGCAGCAGAAAGTTGATGGAAGGTGCCATTCTGATCACAGAAGTCCTTGATCACTTTGTTGACAAATTCAGTTCCTCTGTCAGATCTGATGGTTCTGACCTTCATGTTCTTCTCTGTCTGAAGTTGCTTTAGGATAGATGGCAACTTCTGCAATGTCTCATTCTTCTTTGTTAGGAACAGGGTCCAAGTGAATCTTGAGTAGTCATCAACCATAACAAGAGTATATCTTTTTCCACCAACACTGGGAGTTTCAACAGGTCCAAATAAATCCATGTGGATCAGATTTAGAGGACAAGTAGAAAGATCACCAGCTATGGGTTTGAATGAGGTCTTCACTTGCTTGCCTTTCTGACAAGCACTGCAGAGGGTCTTCTTCTTGTAGACAATGTCAGGAAGACCATCTATAATGTGTTCTCTTGCCAGTTTGTTGAT